TGAATCAGAAATAAATTCAACACCTTTACAGATGGATAAAGAAAACTCCCAAACCATCTGAGACACAAATGTTAGAATAAAATGCTGTCTGCTGGGACTTCCTAATGAGATACAAATCTGGCAGAGAGTGCCTGCACCAATTCCAAAGGGCAGCAGACATCCATGTTTCTGAGCACGTTCTCTTCAGGCCCAAAGCAAAGAGCACAGTGCAGCAGCAGGGTGATGCCACATCATCTGTGAAGCTGCTCAAACAAGAGGAGCAGACTGGAAGTAGCAGCCAAAACCCTCCTCAACACAAAAAAAGGGGAAGATCTCACTGAGCAGACAGACAGAATGTTCCAGGCAATAAATTTATAAAGACTACCAAGGAATCAGCTGGGAAAGGGTAGAAGATTCCCAAAGAGGCATTCCAAAGTCAGATGCCAGTAAAGTAGATGATTCTCATTGTGACACAGCAAGAACCAAATTACTGAAGGGGATTTTATTTTTTTTTCTACCTGACAGAATTTTTATTATTTCTATTACTCAAAAACTGCAGCATGATATGAATCCAAATATTTAACAGTGCGTGTCAAAGTTTAAATGCAAATTTTTAAAATAATCAAGTCTTTATAACATTGCCAAATTAGAATAAAAACAAACAACAACCCAGCCAGAAAGTAATTTAAGCCAGTATTTGCATACTCTTACACCCATATCTTAAAAAAAAACCAAACTTATCAGTATGCTACAATATATCCCAAGGTACTTTTTAAGATTTTTTCCCATTATTTTTATGACGATATCCAGACTTTCGACAACTTAAAGATTTGGTGTGAAATAAACAGTTCTATTGGCACCAAGACATTAGTTCATGACTTTCAGATAAAATGCAGCACTTGGCATCAAATTTTTTCAAGGAAAAGCTCATGTAGGGTACTTATTTACAACGTTGTGTTTTAGTGCATGTCTTTTTGCTTGTGTTTGAGTTTGTGTGGACAAAAGCATGAAATCAGCACTTACCCATATATGTAATAAAATATATTGATTTAGCTGTCATTCAAATGAGCCTGTAGGTCTTTGTAAAGGGTAAAGACAAGACAACAAGTGGCAACACAAGACCAGTTGGACAACATAAATTTAATGGCAATAAAATAAATTCTCTAAGGTCCTTTTCTTTCACTCTTCTACAAGCTTATGTTTTTGTTCCACAAGCAATATTTAAACAGGCTAATATTTGCTCTCAGAGTGTATGTTCAGTCACAAAAGAAAGAAGTCCTCCGAGCTGGTGATTCCCAAAGCATAAGGGAATATACAAGCTATAAAAGTGGTAGCTTCCAAACACATCTTAGCATTTCAACCAAAATTGTCACCTATTTCTCTCATCAAATCTTTATTTCTTATTAAAAAGAAACTAGTAACTCAAAATAATCCTTTCTAGTTATACAACCCCCTTTCTGTCCTGAGTCTCCCTATTTCTTATGCCTGAACTGCACCTTACACAGAATTGTGCAGTTCCAATATCATCTTTCTTCTGAGTCTATCTCAATATTTTTTGCAAATCAGAAACAAATCTGTCACTGCTTCAAACTCTGGAAATCAGGGCAACAGGAAGACACAGCAATTTTGAAGTGATGATTTATGTCAGTACTGCTTTATACAGTTTTTTACACACAAGTGAACTGAGGCACACACTAAGCACTGAAACTTAGTGAGCACAACAAAATCGGGTACAGAGAGTACGACTTGAGCTACTCTTCAACACAAAATCCATTAAAAATTACCTTGACATACGTATTCCTCTGTAGCACAAGCTTTGACAGATTCCATATGCCCTTATGAATGAAAATGGTATATGCATTCAACCTGCATTGGCAGAGAAATAAATTTAAATTGCTGTCCAGTATTACCAGAATATAGGAGAATATTTTTACCACATCTAGTATAGCTCATGATCCTGTTACCTTTCATCTGTCATATCTAAAATCCTTTTACTCTAAACCCCGAAGTTCTCCCTCATTAGGCGCCATTCCATTTACATCCATAAAAGCTAATCGTGATCAACCAAAAAATATAAATCCACGGATGGCAGACTTGTTACAAGCTAATTCCCAGATAAACTGAAGCCTGAACCTAGCCCTATACAATCAGCCTCACAGATTGACACTAACTCTGAAAAAGTGAATACACACACCTCACTGCTCTTCCTATATTTATTTAGTACAAATTGATGTCACAACCTGTATCTCGAGTATCTCCTCTCATGAATTATTCCCCTTCATTAACTCCACACATTTCATCCTAAGCAACACCAGTCAGAAGAAGCAGCCTTATTGAAGCCTTCTTGAATGATAGCTCCTCACAGTCTCTTTGTCATCACTGAGCCAATGTATGACCTAAGCAATAAAGATGGAATTTATAATGGTTTTCTTTAATGGTCAGATGGAGAAACAGAAAATGGCACAGCCTACTTACTGTTACTGTCACATTGCCATTAAAGCTTTATATTCCTGTGCTTTAGCCTTCTGGGTATCTCCTGAAGCAAGTATAAAATCATTTCTCACCTCCACAGGCCTTTAAGATAATAATGCCACCAATTCTTCAACTACTGCTTGAGAAGTCCATTGTCCTGAAGACATTCATGGGATCATCAAGGTTGGAAAACACCTTCAAGACCATCCAGCCCAACCATCAGCCCAGCACCACCACCACTGTAACCCCTAAACCACAAAACCTGGTGCCAAATCCAGGCACCTGCTCAACACATTATAGAACTAAAAAAAAAAAAACAAACCTCTCAAACAAACAAACAGAAAGAGTAACAGACTTTTGAGTGACATTCTAGTGACCAAAAGACTGTGTTGGGTTTTTCTCCTTAAATGAAGCAGCAGATTTGCGAGGATTTTGTTTTATTTAAAACAAATAACAGCTTCAGCAGTGGTGATTTCGGGGCCAGGAGGGGGGAGTGTGTGTGAAATAGTGTCTGTGGGACCTGGGGATATGAGAGAGAAAATATGAATTTCATATACATAGGCGCATCGCGAAGTTATAAGATATCCAAGTTACAAATGGAACTGGGTGTCAGGGTCTTTTTCAGCCAGATAAGAGAAATATAAAAGTTCTTAAAAATTAAAATCTTTCAAGGCCATGTGGAAGTTTTGAACACAGGGGTTTCTTCTCTCTCTTTGGGCTAAGAAAAAAGGATGATCCACCATTTTTGACAGCCAATCAGAAGAAAGGGAAAGTCCCTTTTCAGAGAAAAGAAAACTTTTTGGGCAAAATTAATATATTAAACTTATCTGAATAAGGGTGGGATTTTGCGAAACTATAAAATGTATAGTATTTAAATCCAAAGGGTCTTTCTCCCCGAAAAACTCGCTGTGAGACTAGACCCCAGCATGCTGAATAAATTCTTCCGTTTTGTGAGTTTATGCCGTCTTTTTAAATTTAAAAGAGGGATTTTTCCCACAGGGAGGACACAGGTCATTCCTGGGGAGGGCACACGGCACTCCTGAGGAAATCACACGGCACTCTGGGGAAGGCACAGGTCATTCCCGGGGAAGGCAGAGGTCATTCCCGGGGAATGTAGAGGTCACTCGCGAGG